TGTATTTCATACTATAACATTTTCCATTCTTGTTTACTTCCAACCCTTGTGCTCCTATACTTAAGGCATCTCTTGCATAAAGGTACTTTGTGGGTTTTCTTTCTTTTCACTTTGATAATCTTTGCATTTAATTGGTACACTGTCTATTCATATAAATGTTGTAACTGATATTTAGGTTTAAACCTCCTAATCTATTTGATTTCTATTTGTCCTATTTGTTCTATATTTTCTCTCCCTTTTTGCTTTATTATTCCACTTTCGCCCTGTATTAGCTTTGTAGTTATATGATTTATTTTGCTTTTTGCTGTTCTTTTAGTGGTTACCCTATAGATGACACAGCAGTCTAATATTACTTATAATCTTTCTGATAATTGTAAGGACCTTAGAATTCCTGCACCAAATGTATATATTATTGTCACGTTTTAACATTATTTATTTTAACCTTGAAGACTATTTTATATAGTTAATATTCCTTAACCTGTATATTATTTTTTAAAATTACTGTTCATTCCTACCTTTATCTGTAACCCTTTTCTGGGATCATTTTCCTTCTGTCTGAAGAATCCCCTTTACTATTACCTTTAATGACAATCTGCTATTAAATTTGTTGTGTTTGAACGTGTCTTTGCCTTCATTCTTCAAGAATTGTTTTTGGGGAAAGGCTGGGTATTGAATTCTAAAATTGTAGATATTTTCTTTCAGTAACTTGAAAATATCATTCCATTGATTTCTGGTTCCCATATTTTCTGTTGAGAAGGTAGCTGTCAGTTTAATAAACTTGTGGCTCCTTTAAAAGTAATGTCTTTTATCACTGTCTGGCTCCTTTAATGATTTTCTTTTTGTGTTTTATTTTTTCTTACGATGTGCTAAGGTGTAATTTTGTTTTTATTTATCATGCTTTGATCTTGCAGGACTTCATGTCTTTTAAAAATTTGGAGAATTCTCAGTCATTATCTCCTCACAGGTTGCTTCTGTCATATTCTCTCTTCTCCTTCTGGAAATCCAGTTACGTGTATGTTAGATCTCCTCATGTTAACTCTATGTCTCTTATTCTCTCTACTGTATCTTCCATTCTTTTGTGTCTTAGTTTTTCATACCTGGTATTTACTTCTGACATAACTTTTAGTTCACAAATTCTTACTTCACTGTATCCAGTTTCTATCAGATCTATTCACTGAATCCTTTTATTTATTTATTTTGAGTCTTGCTCTGTCACCCAGGCTGGAGTGCAGTAGCATGATATTGGCTCACTGCAACCTCCACCTCCTGGGTTCAAGTGATTCTCCTGCCACAGCCTCCTGAGTAGCTGGAACTATAAGCACCTGCCACCACACTCGGCTTTTTTTTTTTTTTTTGTATAGATGGGGTTTCACTGTGTTAGCCAGGATGGTCTTGATCTCCTGACCTCATGATCTGCCCGACTCGGCCTCCCAAAGTGCTGGGATTACAGGCGTGAGCCACCGCGCCCGGCCTATTCACTGAATTCTTAAACTTGATTAGAGTACTTTTAAGTTGGGGACTTGATTGATTCTTCTATATAGTTTCTGATTTTCTGCTGAAATTCTCAATCTTGTGTTTTAGATCTTTAAACACACTAAAGACAGTAATTTTAGACCCTGTGTTGTGTAGCTCATTATCTGGGTCCCCTGTGGCTCGGTCCTATCATCCGTTGCTTCTTTTGGATTTTGATCATGTTGCTTTGTTTCCTCAGATACCTTAAATAACCTTCCAATACTAAACATGAAAAGTTATAAAAATAACTCAAAAGATCAGAGAGGATTTACATTTGCTCTGGGTAGCAGACAAAGGGTCACCTTAATCCAGTTTTGGGAAGTGAGAAGATCCTAACTGCATCTGGTTTTTCTTCACCCTTACGATTTGGATATGGTCCTTGGGGACACAACCCAATGTATGGTCAGTTAACTAGGGTTCCTTTCCCCTTCCCTACTTCCTTGGAGAGCCTTGGTCTCCAGTTTTTGTCCCTCTAACTCAGCAGCAAGGCTGTCATAAGTGTTACTTAGTGTCTCAGACTCACAACCACCTTATCCTGAATCGGCATATCTCCTACAAGAAAAGCAGCCCAAATGCTGAGCTCAGGTATCTAAGTTTCATTCTGTCTTAGATCTTAGTGATGTTATTCTTCACTGTCTTTTGGTTTTCTAATGTCTTTAAGCAGATTTTAAAATACTATTTTGCTTGGCTTTTCTAGCTCTCTGAAATAGTTGGTATGAATGCACCACTAAAAGTTGGAAGTAGAAAAGGTTTTAGGGAAAATTCAGTAAGGTTAGTGTTAGTCCAAACTGCACCATTTTGTAAGCTCCCCGCTATTTTGCAGACCTTAATCAAAGTGAAACATTTCACAGGGGTTCGGGCAGTGAGAAACATCCTGCCTAACTACCTGATCACAAGGTGGAAAAAGGCCCAACCTAAGAAATATCCCTATATCTTGCTGGGCAAAGTTCCAAGGAATACCATGATGACATCCTGCTAGAACAAGGGCCAGAACCACCTCATCATGGGAGCATCTTATCAATATCCTGCTGGACAGCAAGCCATACTGCCCAGACCCCTCCCACCCATGCCTATAAGTACGCCCAGCCTGGAAGCAGTGGTAGGCTCTAGCATTAAGCTGGTCCCCCACTTCTGTAGGTTTTATGCTGGACGTAAAGCCTGCATTTGTTGTCAAGCTATCCTCTTTCTGTGTGTCTTTCTTTAACCCTCGCCTTCCCTTCAAAATCTAACAGTCAGTTTTTAATATACTAAGTGAAGATATCAAGTAAGTGATATATACAGGTTCAGTGTAAGAAGAGAGGTTGGGTTAGGTATATATATTTGATCATCATCAACTTATTGATGCTATTTCAAGTCTTGAAGTAGTTGAGATTATGGTGATTGCAGAAATACAAAGGGGGGCCTAGAACCAACTGGTGAGAAATTCTAAAATTTACAGGTCAGGTAGAAGAGGAAAGGCAGCAAAGATGTTTGAGGAGTTGCTAGGAAGATAAGAAGAAAACAAAGATAATGTAGTATCAGGAAAGTCCAAAAGGAAACACAAAAGCTGATTCAAGGAATAGTCAAATGTGTCAATTACTACTAGCTGGTTTGACAATAAAAAGGTCGATAGTGACCTTAATAAAAACTTTTTTTTTTTTTTTAATTTGGGGGAGTCATGGAGATGGGATCCAGACTGGAATGGTTTGACAAGTAAATGAAAGAGAAAACTTGGCCATGAATGAAATGGAGATATGAGAATAGTTTGAGGAGGATGCAAGGTTAAGGGAAGGCATAGCTTGGCATTATTATTATTATAGTGAAAATCTCTAAACAACTGAAAATTCACATTATTTGGGGGATAGTAATCCAATAAATAATATCAATGGAATTTTATGCTGTCATTAAGAGCGATAATTACGGCCAGACACGGTGGCTCACGCCTGTAATTCCAGCACTTTGGGAGGCCGAGGCGGGTGGAGAATGAGGTCAGGAGTTCGAGACCATCCTGGCCAACATGGTGAAACCCCATCTCTACTAAAAATTCAAAAATTAGCCAGCATGGTGGCGCGTGCCTTTAATCCCAGCTACTCAGGAGGCTGAGCCAGGAGAATTGCTTGAACCAGGGAGGCAGAGGTTGCAGTGAGCCGAGATCGTGCCACTGCACTCCAGCCTGGGCGACAGAGTGAGACTGTCTCGAAAAAAAAAAAGGTGATAATTACAAAGTACTTTTAATGACATGAGAAAATATTTCTACATGACAAAGATATAAAGGTATACAGCTAGTAAATCTCAATCATGTAAATTAAATCATAAGTCTAAGATGTGAACTCAAGAGTAATATAAAATCTTATCTTAGTAACTGTACTATATTACCTCCAAAAAAAGATAAACATACAAATCTCTTGAATTCATTAACTGAAAATTGGTCCAAAAAGTTATCCCTTAACATTGTTAGAGTGAACTGGTCCACATACTAAATAAATGGAATATTAATAGCAGCTTAACTTGTTCATTTCATATAATTTGAATGATTTCTAAAGAGAATACATTATTACAAATCTAGGGGGCTCCTACCGATTTCATTGGAAATTAAGTAAGAAGTAGAGGAAACTGATCTCTCAACTGACGTGGATTCATTGTTAATCCCCCTTACATGTATCTGTAAAACATTCCTAAGCAAGAAGAGAAAGAAAATAAAATTCAGATCATATTATAAAAATTTTCTTCCCATCTCCTCTTTACTTCATATACCTTAAGACATTAGTAACTGGTAGTCCTGTTGAGTAAATCATTTTTCAGAAGCAGTAAATTCATTTGAAAGAAATATATAATGAGTCAGAGCTATGCTTTAGTAGTCATATGCAGATTACCCCAACATTGCTCTTCCTGTGAATATTCACATGATGAATGGGATGAACCCTGCTTCTTTCACATATATCAAAAGGATATTTGAAAAGGAAAGAAAATATTTTATTAAAAGTTTTTTAAGGTTTGTGAATTGAAGTCTATGAAAACAAACTATATAAAAACATTCAGATAATATTAGGTGTTAAAACAGCACATTTGAAAATACTATAAATTATACTAACCTTCAACAGGATCCATTATCACTACTTAGAACACTGATATGTCTATCTTAAGTATGTAAAAATTACATAGCTGTTAACTTTATATGGCAATTCACCTATTACACATTTAAGAAAGCATTACAAAATTCATTATATAATAATTACACAAATGTTTTCTCATATTTACCAAAGTCTACTAAAGTCCAGAGGGCACAAGTATTGGCCAAATAGTTCTAACTTTTACATTAGACAAAAAGATGTTTTTGTTGTTTTTTAAAACCATTAAGATGGCTAAGAGAACCAATTTTATGGAGCTTAGCTGTTCTCAGGCATCTGAATGAGGGTGGGGAGAAGTCCTGAAGTTACAAGAATCAGTTACATTTTTAAGATGAAAAAATAAAAACATTGCATTTGATGAGATTACAGTCAAAATGAGCTCTAATACAAATGTATATGGAGAGGTTTTGAAGAATAAATCGGATACCCCAGGGGAGGATCTGCTGCTTGTACCGTAAGATTTCTTAAAAGTAGTGGATGAGCTTGTATACTATAACGTTCTTCATCATCGTTTGTGGCATAAAGTAATTCCCACGAAAGATTGGCCCACTGACCTCTAACAGCTTCAGCATTCAACTTTCCCACTTGGATCAATAATTCTTGAAGGCTAAGTACTCTTCCAGTGTAAATTCCCTTTACAGTAAAAATGGAGAGAAAGAAAAGAGATTACATTTAGGTTTTCATATTTTATTTATAAACTTACAGAAAAATTGCATTGTAATTAGGCAAACTTCTCCCAAGTTCAAAAAACAGAAAGTAGTGTTTTAAAAATGTACACAATGAGTTGCTTGTATTCAGAATCAAGAATTACCTCTACTTCCTTTGTTCTTTAATAAAAGAAAGTTTCCTGGCAGTCATTTCAATCACCATTAGGCAAAATCTTAGTCACTTCTGTCTTCCTTCTCTGATCTGTTGCCTCAGCGACGCATAGTCATACATACTATTTGGTGGTGAATGATACAATAGGCTCTTTTTAAAGAAACAGCTTTGTTGAGATATAATTCACATTCCATACAATCTATTTACTGTATGCAATTCAATGGTTTTTATTATAGTCGCAGATACGTGCAACCATCACCACAGTTAAGTTTTAAAACACCATAACCTCAAGAAGTATCCTTGTGCTCTTTAGTTATCACCATCCTATCTCATTGACCCTTCCCTAAGTAACCACTAACATATTTTCTATCTTTATAGACTTGCCTCTTCTGTAAATTTCACTTGTATGTGGTCTTTTGTGACCGATTTCTTTCACTTAGCATATTTTCAAGGTTCATCTATGTTGTACATGTATCAGTACCTTATTCCTTTTTATGGCAGAATAATATTCCATCATATGGATATACTAAAATTTGTTTTCAGCAATTGATGTACAGTTGGTTTGTTTCCACCTTATAGCAATTAATAATAATGTTGCTATAAACATTCATGTACAAGGTTTCATGTGGATTTATGTTCTTATTTCTCTTAGGTATATATACTTAGGGATAGAACTGCTAGGTCGTATGTTAACTCTATGCTTAACTATTTGAGAAACTGCCAGAATGTTTTCCAAAGTGGCTGTACCATTTTACATTCCCAAGAGCAGAAGAGGGTTCCAATTTCTCCACATCTTGTTAACACTTATTTTCAGACCTTTTGATTTTAGCCATCCCGTGTGTGTGAAGTGTTATTTTATTGTAGTTTTGATTTGCACTTCCCTGATGACTAATTATACGGAGCACTTCTCATGAACTTATTGGCAACTTATACATCCTCTTTAAAGAAATGTCTATATAGATCCTTTGTCCACATTAAAATCTATTTACCTTTTTATTATAGAGTTTTAAGAGTTCTTTTATATATTCTAGTAACAGTCCCTTAACAGATAAGTGCAAATATTTTTCCCATTCTGTGAGTTGTCTACTTTTTTGATGGTGTGCTTTGAGGAACAAAAGTTTTTACTTTTGATGAAGTCATATTTATCTATTTTTCTTTTGTTTCTCATGCTTTTGGTGTCATATCTAAGAATCTATTGCCAAGTTTAAGGTCATGAAGATTTACCCTCATGTTTCCTTCTAACATTTTTATGGCTCTTATGTTTAGGTCTTTGATGTATTTTGGAGTTATTCTAAAAATATGGTATATAAAGTAAGGTCTCTAGTGGGTTGAATAGCATCTCTTTGAAGTTACCTGTGAATGTGACCTTATTTGGAATGGGTACTTTGCAGATGTAATTAAAAATTTAGAGATGAGATCATCCTGGATTTAGGTGGGTCTTAAAGCCAGTGACTGACATCCTTATAAAAGAAAGTAGTAGGAGAATTAACACAAGAGTATAGAGAATAAGGCCATGTAAATATGGAGATAGAGACCGGAGTTACTCAGCCATAGCCAAGGAATGTTAAGGGCCACCAGAAGCTGGAAGAGGCCAGGAAAGATTCTTTCCTAGAGCCGTTAGAGGAAGCATGGCTCTACTGGCACCTTGACTTCAGCCTTCTAACCTTTAAGACTATGATGAGAGAATACATTTCCATTTTTTAAAAAGTCACCCAGTTTGTGGTAATTGCTACAGCAGCCCTGGGAAACTAATACTAGTAATCCAACATTATTCTTTTGAATGTTGCTACCAAAAGATGATTTCCCCAGTGAATGGTCTTGGCATCCTTGTTGAAAATTAGTTGGCTAAAGACCCATGGATTTATTTCTGGATCCTCAATTCAATTCCACTGATTTATATGTCTATCATTATGCCCGTACCATACTGTTTTGATTATTGTTTCATATACGTTTTGAAACTTGGCAGTATGAGTCCGCCAATTTTCTTTTTCAAGATTGTTCTGGCTATTCAGGGTCTCTTGAAATTCCATATTAATTTTAGAAAATCAGGTTGTTCAATTTCCACAAAGAAGCCAACTGGAATTCTGAAAAGGACTGTGCTGAATCTGTAGATACATTTGGAGAGTATTGCCATCTTAACAATGTCATCTTGATTTATGAACACTAGATGTTTATTTATTTAGATATTTAACTTTCTCTTTTAACAATGTTTTGTAGTTTTCAGAGTATAAGTTCTGTACTACTACTATTCCATTTTCCCTAAGTATTTTATTATTTTTGATGTTATTTTAAGTGGGATTTCCTTAACTTCATTTTTGGTTTGTTTGTTGCTAGTGTATAGAAATTCACCAGATTTTTTTATGTTGATCTTATATTTTGCAACCATCCTGAATTTGCTAATCAGTTCTGAGCTTTTTAGTTGATTCCTTAGATATTCTATACATCATCAAGATCACGTCATCTGTGAATAGAGATAATTTTACTTCTTCCTAATCTGAATGCCTTTTATTTCTTTTTCTTGCCTATTTACTCTGGTGTCTTAGCTTAGGCTGCTATAACTAAATACCATAGACTAGGTGACTTAAAGAAGAGACATTTATTTCTCATGGTTCTGGAGGCTGGGAAGTCCAAGATCGGGGTAGTTTCATGTCTGGGTTCAGATGAGGGCTATCCTCCTGGCTCATGGATAGCCATCTTCTTATTCTGCTCTAAGGCAAAAAGACAGGAAGCTGTGGGTGTCTCTTCCTCTTCCTATAAGGGTACTAATCCCATCACAGGGCTCCATGCTCATGATCTCATCTAACCATAATTACCTCCCAAAGGCCCCACCTCCTACTACCATCACATTGGTGGTTAGGCTTCAACATGTACATTTGGGGTATAAACATTCAGTCCATACCACCTGGCTAGAAGTTCTAGTACAATGGTTAATAAAAGTGGTAAAAGTAGACATTCTTGTCTTCTTGATCTCAGGGGTAAGCATCCAATCTTTCACCAATAATTATGATGCTCACTGTGAGTTTTTCATAGATGTTCAGGTTGAAGAAGTTCCCTTCTTTCCTAGTTTGTTTTTACTATGAAAGGGTGAGGGATTTTGTTAGTTTTTTTATATCTACTGAGATGATCATATGGTTTGTGTCTTTTATTTATATATTTTATATATTACATATTTATATTAATAAAATATTATATAGTTTATATATCATAGTGCTTCCTGTGCTCAAGCAATCTTCCCACCTCAGCCTCCAGAGTAGCTGGGACTACAGGAACACACCACCATGTATGGATAATTTTGTTTATTTTTTCTTAGAGACAAGGTCTCACTGTGTTGCCCAGGCTGGTCTTGAACTCCTGGACTTAAGTGATTCACCTGTCTTGGCCTCCAAAAGTGCTGGGATTACAAGCACTTTCTTAAATCCAGTCTGATAATCTCTGCCTTTCATCTGGATTATTTAATCCATTCCCATTAATTTTATTACTGAAATAGCTGAATTTTGTCTGTCATTTTCCTTTCTGTTTTGTCTCGTATCTTTTTTTTTCTTTTTTTTTGAGATAGAGTCTCGCTCTGTCGCCCAGGCTGGAGTGCAGTGGCGCGATCTCGGCTCACTGCAAGCTCCGCCTCCCAGGTTTACGCCATTCTCCTGCCTCAGCCTCCCGTCTCATATCTTTTTTATCCCTCTATTCTTTCTTGACTTTCTCTTGTCAAGAAAGTGACTATTTTGTAATATGCCATTTAAATTTCTTTAATGACGGTTTTCACTTTTTTCCTCAGTTATTTCCTCAGTGGTTGACTAAAGCTTACTATCTCTGTGTTACAAGAGTCAGTCTCAGATTTATACTAATTGTGGTGAAGCAGAAATATTACTCTTACAAAGTTCTAGTCCCTTTTCTTCCCTTCTGTGGTACTGTTATACATATCACATTACAAACGTTACAAATCCAACAGTACATTGTTTTAATTATCACTTTATATAATTTTATGCCTTTAAAAGAAGGTGAGAGAAAACGGAGCAAGTATGCATTTATTGTGTTATATTAATTATTTTTATTTTTTTAGAGATAGGGTCTTGCTCCATCACCTAGGATAGAGTGCAGTGGTGCAATCATAGCTCACTATAACCTGAACACCTGGCTCAAGTAATCCTCCCACCTCAGCCTCTCAAGTGGTAGCTAGGACTACAAATGCATACCACCATACCTGGCTAATTTTTATTTTTTGTAGAGATAGGATTTGCTATGTTGGCCAGGCTGGTCTCAAACTCCTGGTCTCAAAGCAATCCTCCTGCCTTGGCCTCCCAACTTGCTGGGATTATAGTCCTAAATTACCATGTCCAGCATTGTTATGTTACCCTTTTTTCTTTTTTGAGATGGAGTCTCTCTCTTGTTGCCCAGACTGGAGTGCAGTGGTGCGATCTCGGCTCACTGCAACCTCCGCCTCCTGGGTTCAAGCAATTCTCCTGCTTCAGCCTCCCAAGTAGCTGGGATTACAGGTACCCACCACCACACCCAGCTAATTTTTTTTGTAGTTTTAGTAGAGACAGGGTTTCACCATGTTGGCCAGGCTGGTCTCGAACTCCTGACCTCAGATGATCCGCCTGCCTCGGCCTCCCAAAATGCTGGGATTACAGGCGTGAACCACTGCACCCAGCCTTATGTTACCCTTTAAAAAAATGCTATTTCTCTTTCTTCCTGTAGATTCAAGAATCCAGAAATGAATTATCTGGATTCACTTCCTTTATCCAGTACAGCTTTGCCCCTACTGGCTTCCTCTGTGCAATTATTAGCAAATTACATTCCCATATATTACAGGCCCAATAATACATGAATACATTTTATAGAATTGCTTTTCAAATCAGTTAAGAGAAGAAATATGCCTTTTTACTCTTTTCTATCATTACGCAGTTACTTTCATTGGTGCTCTTTGTTTTTGTGTGTGAATCTGAATTATTGTCTGTGGTCACTTACTTTCAGTCTGAAGAACTCTAGTGTTTCTTGTAAGGTGGGTCTGGTAGCAACAAATTCTGTTTTTGTTTATCTGGAATTTCTTTATTTTGCTTTCATTTTTGAAAGATCGCTTTGTCAGATACAGGGTCCTTCGTTAAGCTTTCTGTTTTGGGGTTAAGGGGGCACTCTGAATATGTCATTCCATGCTTCTGGCCTCCATTGTTTCTGATGACAAATCAGTTGTTAATTTTATATGACTTTCCTTAAAACGTACAAATAGTTTTTACTTGGTGCTTTCAAGGTTTTCTCCTGGTCTTTGGATTTCCACATTTTTACCATGATGTTATTTGCCTGTGGATCTCTTTGCATTTATTATAAAGTTCACTGAAGTTCCTGGATGTGTAGATTAATGTTTTACAATAAATTTAAGAAGTTTCAGCCATTATTTCACTAAATAATTTTTTTCTCCCTTCTCTCTCCTTCTGGTATTAAGTATATGTTGGAGCATTTAATGGTGTCCTACATTTCTCTGAAGCTCTCTTTTTATTCATTCTTTTCTTTTCTTTGGATTGCATAATCTCTATTGATCTAGAATCTTCAAGTTCACTAATTATTTCTTCTGCCAGTTCAAATCTATTGTTGAGCCCCTGTAGTGAATTTTTCATTTGGTTCTTTTTTATAATTTCTATCTCTAATACATTCTCTATTTGATGTGAGATTGTCACCATACTGTCCTTTATATCTTCAACCATGGTTTCCTTTGGTTCTCTGGATATATTTATAATGACTACTATGAAATCTTTATTAAATCTGACATCTCTTCCCTCTTACAGGCAAGCCCGGTTGTCTACTTTTCCCCCCCGGTATATGGGTTAGACTTTCCCATTTCTTTGCATATCTCAACTTTTTGTTGAAAATCAGATATTGCAGGTAACACTGTAGAAATTCTGGGTGCTGGTCCTCTTCATTCCTAACTCCAGGGCTTGTTATTATGATGTACTTGTTTAGTGATTGGCTGGCTTACTGTAGTGAAGTCAATCCCAGTCTGCTCCCTACCAACCCCCGCCCAGTCTGAAGTCTCAGATACGGCCTCTCATAGAGTACAGTCAAACTGAATGCATAATTACCTTGGGATGGTTTTGGCAGGGTTATCTTGTCTGTTAAGTGTTCATACCCAGCTATTAAGCTCCACTGATTGCCAGCTGGTTACTCTGCTTTCAACAAAGACCTGAGGCATACATTGCTCCACAGACTGATCCAATTAAATGTGAACTCCTTCAAAGGAATAGCTTTTCATGTGTTTGATCCCAGGAAGGCTCTTTGCTGTTTCTTCCCCTGAAAAAAATCTAGCCAGTTTACAGTTTAGCTTAATGAACCTACCAGTCTCCTAGAAATTAGTTCTCACCACAACCTCCATCGTTTATGTTGTTTTCTTTTTTTGACACTATCATAAAACAGCAAGTCCTCCACTGTTTTTAAGAACATTTTGGGCTTCAATGTGTCTACACTCTATTGCAGATAAATCAGTTCCTCTGGGAAGAAGAGATTCAGAGCTTTTGTTGCTGTTAGTAATAATTTGCTTCTTCCACTGGGCAAAATCTCTGAGCCAGAGTTCTGGGCGACAGCATGCTTCTCTCTTGAGTGACCCTTCTGCTTTAGGAGATAAGCACTTGGTGGAGGGAAGGAGTAGCCTCAGGTCTTTCCAGCTTGCCTCTCCCAGCATAGGACCTCCATATTATGAGTGGGCAAGAGTGATCAAGGCCCCAGTATTTTCAGTGGCACCACACCCAAGATAAAGTCTCCATCCCATAAGTGCAGTGGGCCAGAAGGGAATCTTTGCTTGGACTTCACATGCCTGGAATGTAGCCTCAGCAACAGGTAGCTGGGACAGGATTAAAAATGTTGAACTCCTGCCCTTCCTAGGAAAACAGTCCTCCAACTGGGAGTTGACAGAGAAGAGAGCCTATGTTCTGGGTTGTACCAGTCTGAGGGGAGATTCCATCTTGCTGAGGTTCAGGTAGGGTAGGTTTTGGTTCAAATACTACAGTCTCTTACTATTCTCACTGGGTTTTAGCAGATTTTTAAAAATAAATTTATGTTCATTTGCTGTATGCCCTTAGGAGACTTTCTAAGACTTTAAGTGGTTATTTAAAAAAAATATAATTTTCATTAGTTTCACTGGGGAGTGCATTTGCAGAGCTCCTCAAACCATAATGCCAGACAGACAAAACCACGATAAGCTCATAACATTGAATCTTTCATATTGTGTAGACTTGATGACATTTTAAATGTGATAAGAACAAGTACTAAATCTTAAAGAGTCATCCCCTATTTTAAGTCTCTGGATTTTCACAGGTTAGGTTTGCTTCAATACAGTATAAATGTCAGCAAAATACTTTGCCACTTACAAATAACTTTTTCTAGGAGTCAAATCCAAGTGATAATTCATACATTGAACAAAGGAATACAATCCATTTAGTCAAATATGTTATACCATACTACACATACTTGGCTCTCTTATAGGTCAGGTATTGCACTATGGCTACACAACATTTTTAATTGGCTCCTCTTCAGTTGGCATAGGAGAGAAATCAGCTAGAGTTCGTCTAGCTTCGCCATAAAGTCATGATTACAAATGCCTTAAAACTATATCACAACTATAATGTTATATCATTTATCACTTAGTTCAAATACTTTATAACTGACATCCATTCTCTAAGGTTAGAATATATACGCTTAAAAAATTTTTAACCTTACCATATTAGAATCATACCCCAGAGAAAACAAGTATGGCTTTTCTTGTAAAATTGCCTCCTTCCACTTTTCATCAGATACCAAACCAATGTACCAGTCATATTCATATTCTTCAAGGTACTTAATCAGTTCTCTGAAGTCTTCTATTGGACCTAAACTTGCTTTATCAATCATTAGTTTCAGAGTATACCTAAAAAATGGAGAACCGACGAATTTTAGAATATTTGTTGTCAACTTTATGGATCAAATAGATTTTGTTAAATCAATATTTTAAGACATTGAACTGAAATCATATCTATCTCAGCTAAAAAGTGGAGGGAGAAATGATGCAGTTAAGGTGAAGAAATCAGTGAGCCATAAAAAAAAATAGGTTTTCCATATAAACAAAACCAAAGGAAGCACAAATTAAAGCGTACTCTTCATATAATCACACTACACATGAAACATTTTTTTCATTTTGAAGAAAGTAAATTTTAAAAAACTAGAAACAACTGTCTTCTTGTACGTGATTTAGAAAAATCAATATTTTTCCGCCAATGTTATATGTTACATATGATCTAAATGGATTACCTGAATGCTTTCAGTGCTAGTTGAAACAGCTCTGGCTTTTCTGTGAGCCAGTCCAAAGCAACAGACCAAGGCAAAACACCACTGTAAACCCTCAATATATGACCAGGACTAGGAGCCATATTGTCTCTTCCAAAAAAACTAAAATAACAAGTCATTACTGTATGAACATAAAAGTCTTTTAAAACTTTGTCGTTGGCAATTTCTTCCAATACATTTGAGGCCTTTTCTTCTGAATGAAAACATTCCAATTGCCTTAAAACAAACTGGTACCAGTCTTCTGGAAATAACGAGCTCAACTCCTTCATTTTGGAATTGGGCATACAGCTAGTCCTCCACTCTGCAGGTAAGCATACTAAGTGAGAATGTGAACAACTGAATTCCATGAGAGGAATATATGGCATGTCCTCTTGTTTTCCTTTGTCAACAGCAGGGTATCCTAATAGAACTGCTTTGTAAAGATCGTTTTCAGGAACAGTGCCTGTAGAATGATCACCAACCCTCTGGGATTCTACTGATCCTGGAATAAATGAGTTTGTACCTGGCAAATCTTTCAACTGATATTTTTCTTCTATTACTTTTTTGATAGTTGGCTCATCATCAAAAATATTGTCATCAGACCAGTCATCAAAAGTTTCTGAATTTAAACTATCTATGTCTTCTGGGGATTTGGGAGGTGGCGAAGTGTTTGAATCAGGCAAGATTAGAGGTGCTTTCCCTTTATTTTCAGTGTTGTAAACATTCTCTTTCATGCCAGGCCTTTTGGAGCAGTATTGAACAAGTATCCACACGAGTACTTTAACGAGGTCACCTTTAAATTCTTTTAAGTTTTCATGAGAATCAATTATGCCTGATAGAACATTCCTGGCATCAGAATACAATTTCACAGGCAAAACAGTACAGGGTGTCAAGACATTTCCAAAGTGTTCATTAAGGGAACATACTCCTGTGTATTCTTGCTCAAAAGCATCTTCAAAAACTTCATCAACTCTGCGAGCTTCTGCAGTATGACAGGATGTTTCCTGCAATTCTAACCCCTAAAGAAGAAATAAAAAATACTTAAGTTTATAATCATTTATTACATAGAATACAGCAACTAGTCTTGAAAATGCCCATAGATTCTCATCACACAAATATGGAAAGTTACAAAAACAATTTCTTTAACTCAAGAGCAACATCCTGACTTAAAGTTAACAGCACTTAACACATTTGATTCTGGATAGGATTAAAAATAATGCTACTATTTTTTTGAAAATATTATGGAAATTCTACTAGAAATTGGGCAAATTTATTAGGTATGAATATAATTTTAAAAGACTATATCCATAGTTAAGAGTGAGCCACACAGTAAAACCTTTCAAATTATAATCCTGGAGGAGAAAAAAGCAAAATTAGAATTATACAGTATATACAGTAGTATTATATCCTTTCCATTCCACTTTATGAGACTAACAGCATTATTCAATGTATGGATGTGCCAGAATTTATCATTCTCCTGTTCCAGATTTCTAACATCATAATGCAGATTTACTTCTTTGATTACTTTGGTTACTGCTATGTCAGTAGTGCCTAAACCAGTATCTGGTACACAGTGGGTATGCAACAAATACATGCTGAGTGAACGAATATTATCAATATATCCTTACATAAATTTTAAACACATTTTGATTACCTCCTTAGAAGGAATCACTTGAAAAGGATGTATCAGGTCACTATTTACTATTATAATTGCTATTGCTAATTTATATATTTTTACAAAGCTGTCAGTGCCTTCAGAACTTGTTTTTAAGTCACAGCTCTACCAGGTGGCTGGCACACAACTTGAGCAGGTCACCTACCCTCTCCGAGATTCCTTTTTCCTCTGTTTCAAAGGAAAATAATCCTAGGGCATATGGTTGTGACGGTTGCATGCTTTGTAAATTTTAAAGTATTAATTGTTAATAGATGGCATGGCCTAACCCAGCTTGCGTCAAAAAAAGACAGAAAAAAAGAGTACCATCAAAAAGTATATTTTTAAACCACATATGTCACAGAGCACAAAGGATCAATCAACATTATTAGGTATTATTAAACCATATCATTTTTAAATAGAATAAAAATAAGTAATCAAAATGTCCTCAATATTTTTTGTCTTCTTGTATGGGTTAGACTAGAACAGAGGTTCTCAATCTGTAGGTGAGTCAGCATCACTTGAGAGTGCTCTTTGAAATACAGATTGCTGAGCCCACTCCCAGAGTTTCTAACTTAGCAAGTTCAGGGTAGGGGTCAAGAATTTCCACTTCTAACAAGTTCTCAGGAAGTATTACTAATACTAGTCTGGGCACTGCATTTTGAGAACCACTGGACTAGAGAGACAGCTTTTTAGTCACTAGTGATTTTATCCAATCTGTGCTAGTACAAGAAATTAACCTATGATTCATTAAAAAATTTTTTTTTTTGGTTAAAGGCCTATTCTGTGCCAGGCACTGTTTCGGGGGCTTAGGATGTATTCCTGAATAAAAACAAGAGATCCCTGTGCTTGTGATACTTATAAAGTGAGGGACATGGGTAATCAACAGTAAAACTAATAAGTAAATTATATAGTTTGTGATAAGGTATAAGTACTATAAAAATAAGGAAAAAGTAAAGCAAGGCAAGGGGGATTGGGAGTGCTGGGATAAGAGTGGGAGTGTAACTTTAAATATGATGTCCATAGGAGAGGTCACTGAGGAGGTGACATTTGAGCAAAAACCTGAAAGTGGTGAGGGAGTTAGATGATTATTTGAAAGCAGAGTGTTTCAGGCAGAGGGAATAGCCAGTAGGCTGGAATAGAGTGAGAGGGTTAAAGTAATAGAGAAGGCCAAAGAGGGAATAGGAAGTCTGGCCATTTGGAGCCTGGCTTTTACTCTGAATGAAAGAAGAGATCCACTGCAAGGTTTTGAGTACAGAAGTGACATGGTTTGACTTAGATTTTAAAGATCATTCTGGTTGACAGTATACTGTAGGGGCACACAGGTGGAAGCAGGACAACCAATTAGGAGGTTATTTCAATTATCCAGGTAAGGGATCAAGGTGGCTGGGACCAAGGTGGTAAAAAGAGATGGGATACAGAATATGGTTTAAAGGTGGAGCCCACAGGATTTCTTGTTGGACTGGGTGTGGAAGTATACAAGTAAAAAAGGAGTCAAACATGACTCTAGTATTTTTGGCCTGAACAACCAGGAGGACAGAGTTGTCATCAAGGACTGCTAGGCTCTGGGGACACACTGGTGTTAAAAGGTCAAAGAAAAGAGAAGGAACCACAAAGTAGAGAAGTAACCCATGAAACAAGTGAAGAGAAGAGAACAGCTGTGTAAAATGCTGCTGATGGTTCAAATAAGACTCGTTCTGAGAGTTGATCACTGGAGTTAGCAATGTGCCAGTCACTAGTGACCTTGACAAGAGCAGGTCGGGTGGAGTAGCAGGGTCAAAAACCTAGAGTGAGTTGAAGACAGAATGGAAGAAATTAAATTGGAGATACAACTATAAGCAGCTCTAATAAGGCCATTTGCTCTTCAAAGAAGGAGAGAAATAGAGTATAGCAGGAAGGGGCAGTAGGATTAGAATACAGTTTTTATTAAGAATGCTTAAATGATATAGGAGTTAAAAAACGTTACTGATTCACACTTTTGAGATGCTCGGCTAGAGAGAGGTAACAAGAATAGGACCGGAAGGAATGGAAGCAGGTATATTTTGTTATCATGCTCTATTATACAATTAACATTAGTCCACCTATCAACATATGCTTATTGAAATACACTTTAAAAATCCCTAGGTGTTTTCACAGGTAATTGAAGAGATATTCTTCTTTGAAACTGAGTGTTTGATGTGAACATAACAAGTAAAATTTTACACATGAACTATAAAAATACTAGAGATGTTTTAAATGCACACTGACCTTAATGTTAATACAGCAGTAAGTATAGCCACATTCCAGAATCATTATCCATATTAAACGATCCTGAAAACGGCCCAAGTAATGAGATCCAGGTAGGAGGAGACCTACAACAAATTAGAAAAAAAAGAAAATCATTTTTCAAGCTTATTTTTGCCATGTGAATCTTCAAAACTGAAAAGACATCTAAGAACTGATTCACGACTCCTACCCTCTCATTAGGTCATGAACAGAAATAACTACTCACTGCGTATCAGGAGGCATTAAATTAACTCTTTACAAGAGCAGATGGAACAGACAATCTGCAGGTGATAATACATAAAAATTCAAGGATTTTCCAGAAAAACAAATTAGAAGTTGTTGTATAAAATCTTAAATACATGTCAATTATATTAGGAAAAGTATTGAGTTTATAAAAGTCAGCTTGACAGTCATGACTTAAAATATCTTTGACATTTTTATATACACGCATATGAACATATAAAAGTGTTTTATGGTTTAAAAAATGTACATAAAATGCTACCACACTGTACAAATACTTTTTAAATTTAGTTTTTCTCTTTTATTAATGAAATTCGCCCACATCTATGGCCAACAGCTAAAATTTATTATAACTGCTGTCGAAAATACAGTGTATCAATTTAATTGAATTTGAGTATTCATTTCCTCATTGATAAACTTTTCAGATGTTTCCAACTTTTCACTATTATAAGTAATGTTGCAGAAATTATCTTTGTGCAAGTCTGCTTGTATAACATGTGGTTCAGAACAGTGCTAACATACCAGAACTGATTGCTATTCTTCAAAAGGTCTGCTTATATGGTTGGTCCTTGCCTGGCATCTGGGAACCCCCTACCTGGTAAGAGTCTCCCATTGTGTCTACCTGTACAAACAATACAGTATATACTGAACACCTGCTCTCCTTTTGGGATTCTGGAGTATTGGTATGTGCTAGGCAGACAGTGCCTGCATGACCAGCCTGCAATAAAAGCCCTGGGCATCGAGTCTCAAATGAGCTTCTCTGGCAGTCAACACATCATAACTTGTCGCCAGGGAATTAAGCACATTCTGTGTGACTCTGTACAACTCCTGGAGACTTGCACCCAGTCTCTTTTACTCCTTGTGATTTTTCCCTTTGCTGATTTTGCTCTGCATCCTTTTGCTGTAATAAATCTTAGCTGTGAGTTCTAGTGAACCATCAAACCTGGAGTAGTCTTGAGGACCCCCAAAACACATGTCTAGAATTTCCCTAGAATTGGAATCACTAAATCATGGAATCAGAAATTGGAATCCCTCAGCCATGGGATATGTACATCTTTATTACAGACTACCATTTAACTCTTCAAAGTGGTTGTAAAAATTTACATTTCCTTCCAGAAAAGTCTGAAAGTTCTTGTTCCCCATGCCCTAGCCAATAGTTGGTAGTGTCAAATTGTTTACATTTTTGCCACTCTGATGTATGTGAAATATTATCTCATTGCTTTTTTCCCCACCAGAAAATACTTTATAATACACTTCTTGGTTGAATATAATTGGTTTGATAATAAAGTATAATTTTTATCTGATTACTATTTCTGATGGGAGTTTAACCTCACAGGTGTTTTAAAAAGTAGAATAGCATTACATAATGAAAATTAATTAGCACTGGATAAAAGTATTATAAGTATAGACTATTTTCTATAAGAAAAACGACTATTCATAAAACATTTGTACTACAAAGATAAAATATTTTTCTTCTCATAAATCATCTCACATAATAATTAGAAAAGTTCAACCCCAAGTAAGCATTTTATTAAAACTCTAATCTTAAATTGCTACTCAGACTAGAATGAGTTTGTCAGAAAGTTATCTGTCATTTTAAAAACAAGTTTCAGGGGTTAAAGCACATGGTAGGAGATGACACACTAGTGTCATCAATTTTATACCTTATCTAAAACCAACCTTGAGAAGTACAATACAGTTAAAATTTATAGTTAGTGTTTGACAAAAGCATTAAAACTCATAAAATGAATTTACTCTCATCAAAAACCTATTTTCTTGCTAATAACTGCATAGCATTTCATTTTGGGAGGCTACCTTACCTACTGATCACTGACCGAAGTTTTTGTTATCCTGTCCAGTTATCTTGTCAGACTGCTTTAAAGTCTCTATAACTTGTAAAGTATGAACAAAATTCCCTCTGCTCCTCAAGCGGATATTATGTAAAGCTAGTTTTCACTAAACTTTATGAATGTATGCTATTGCATGTACTTGACATGAACTCATTATAAATTCATGGAAATCCTGGGGGAAAGGTGTTTCCATGTTTCAATGATGCAACTGTAATCTGAATTTATTCAAGAAAATGTATTTTAAAAATTATCAAATCACCTTAATAAAAATTTCCCCAAGTATTTTTATTTTGTAACTTAATTTAGATGAAAACAAGGAGCAGGAGATAAACTTCTAATTTCATATTTAGTCCTTCTGCCTACACATCAAATTGTTATGGTTGCTATGCCATCTTATGGTTGGATAAAAAGATTGTTTCCTGTTTGTTATTTTTTTGTACTTTAAATACATCAGTGAGAAATTCTTGAGCACAACCCATTTACTTACCTAAACTTCCAGCTGCCATTGCAGTCTGCAGCACAGCAGTCAACCTGGGCACCATTTGGTAGTAGTACACTGTATCTGCACACACACAGGCTGTGGTGCCCGCTGCTCCTGGCCAACTCTGAATAGGTCGGGGAAACCCCACCAAGAACACAGGAAGGGTGAAAAGGGGGAGTAAGGGAGAAGAGAGTAGTGTAGAAAAAACTATGATGACCAACACGAATGGAGAAAAGACAATGTTGAGTATACATAAAGTGGCAGTTGTTTTTCGACGTTGTTTTTTCTCTGTCCATGATGTCAAAAGTACAGTTACAGCAAACTGCAATTTAGAGATGAACCGAATCAAACGATCACGTATGATACCAACCTGTAGAAATGTAAAAATTATTTTTATCTATCCTTAAAGATTTTTCATGAATTTTCAAGATCATATAAGAAAGACTATACAGGAATTTTATTATTGCCCCAATATTTTTTAAGAAATAGATCTTATTCTTTGATTCTTTGTTAATTTTCTCCAACCTCACAATTAATAAATAAGACTACATTTTAAAGTTTGGACTTTCTTAAAAAAAAAAAGTAACAGTAAAAAGAGCTGACAGTATACTAACTATGTTTTAAGGTTGAACCACTGTAGGCCACAAATTAGATAATGCAGAAATTGACAAGTTTCTAGAAAGACACAAATTACTAAAACTGGCTCAAGAAGAAATAAAAAATCTGAATAACCTACAAAAAGTAAAGATATTGAATAATTTAAAAACTACCCACAGAGAGAAGCTGAGGTTCAGATGGCTTCAATACAAAATATTACATACCACAAAACATTTCAGATACATATTGAATACTACAGAACACTTACGAATAATCAATACCTATTCTTCACCACCTTCTACCAGAAAACAGAAGAGTATGGAACATTTCCTAACTCATTTCAGGGGATCGGTACTACCCTGACACATAAACCAGGCAATGATATCACAAGGAAAGAAATCTAGATAAATACATCCCTCCTCCCTCCTCAGCCTCCCAAAGTGCTGAGATTAAAGGCGTGATCCACCACGTCCAGCCAGACAAGCATATGTTCTAAGAAATGTGTTTTGCAGTATCTTGAAGTATTAAACATGGAGTTCCTGTATGACCAGAAATTCCAATCCTAGGTACATATACCCAAGATAAATGAAAACACATGCTCACAAATAATGAGATTCATCACTGAGTGAATATTATACAGCGTATATACACAAACCTAGGTGATACAGCCTACTACATACCTGGGCTATATGGTATAACCTATTGCTCATAGGCTACAAACCTGTACTAAATGTTACAGTACTGAATACCATAGGCAACTGTAACACAATGGTATTTGTGTATCTAAACATTGAAATTGTACAGTAAAAATACATTATAAAAGATAAAAAAGATTATAAAAGAGCACTAGAAGTTGCTCTAAGTTAGTGAGTGAGTGGTGAATGAATGTGAAGTCCTAGGTCATTACTATACACTACTGTAGATTTTAAAAACACTGTACTCTTAGGTTACTCTAAATTTATTTTTAAAATATTTTTGATTCTTCAATAATAAATTAACCTCAGCTTACCATAACTTTTTTATTTTATAAACGTTTTTACTTTTTGACTCTTTTGTAATGACACTTAGCTTAAAACACACTGTACAGCTACTCAACATTTTTTCTTTATATCCCTATTCTGTAAGCTTTTTTCTATTTTAAAATTTTTAACTTTTAAAACTTTTTTGTCAAAAATGAAGATACAAAAACACACATCAGTCTAGGCCTACAGAGGGTCAGATCATTAATATCATTGTCTTCCACCTCCACATCTTGTTCCACTGGAAAGTCTTCAGGGGCAATAACATACATAGAACTGTCATCTCCTGTGATAACAATGACTTCTTCTGGAATATCTCCTGAAGGACCTGTCTGAGGCTGTTTCACAGTCAATTTTTTTTTTTTAATACATAGGAATATATTCTAAAATAATGATAAAAAGCACACTAAATACATAAACTGTAGTTGCTTATTGTCAAGTATTACATGCTGTACACAACTGTATATGCTATACTTTTATATAACTGGCAGCCTAGTAGGTTTGTTTACACCAGCATCACCACAAACATGTGAGTAACGAGCTACCCTACAAGGGCTATGCCACTAGGTGATAGGAATTTTTAATCTCCATTGTAATCTTATCAAACCACCGTTGTATATGTGGTCTGTCATTGACCAAAACGTCCTTATGCAGTGCATGACTGCACTGATACATGCTATAACATGAATGAACCTTGAAAACATAAAAGTGAAAGAAGCCAGATGCAAAAGATCACATGCTGCAGAATTCCATTCATGGGACATATCTAAAATATGCAAATCCATAAAGACAGAAAGTAGATTAGTGGCTTCTGGGACTACAGTGGGTAGTAGGCGAGATGGAGAGGGGAGATGGGAAATAACAGTTGAGGTTTCTTTTTGGGATGTTGAAAATGTTCTAAAATTAGATTGCAGCGATGACTACAAAACTGAATATACACCACTAAATGGACAAATATTACAGTATGTAAAAGATACTTCAGTAAAGCTGTTAAAAGACACATTTACCAGTAAGAGTCTGATTCCTGTATCCAGGTTTCTGTTCCACCACATGTCTGTACTGGAGATCAAATGTACTGTTGATACAATGACTGTCTCCAATAAAGCATTTTCTGTATTCTGCCATACCTGCAGTATACAAATTATTCATTTTTATCAGGTAGAATTAGATAATCTAAGCAAACTATTAAACAAAATTACAATAAAACTTAGCAATAGGAAAATACTATTAAACACATATTAGGATTACCATTCTAAAGGCTCTTGTGAATCCAATAGAGACAGACACTGAGTGGAGCCCTTGTAAGGAACTGTCCAATGAGAGAAATGCTATCATGGCAAAAGGTGATACTAAAACAAAACAAAGAGAAATTTAATTAAGGCAAAACAGCTCCTTCTACCATATTTTATTTTGGCAAATATACATTTTTTCTGAGCACATTTAAGCAATGAACTAAAAAAGCTAATAAACAAAAAACCAAAACATAAAAGAACACTTGTATGTGGTATAATATCACACAAATATGGGAATTCAGTAATATTTTTGAATACCTCCAGGATATGATTTGTAACACAAGGTTAATAGACTTTATCTTCCTACCTAAAGTTAGCAAAATCCGTCTGACAATACCAATCTTCATGAGCCTAGTTTGCTTCTCAAAGAATACAGTCATAGTTTGCACATCCTTCGGATAAAAAGGATTTCGGAAAATTCCAATGATATACACGCTTTGAATTTCTCTAAGTATCCACAGTATTATAAGTAATATCATCAAACCATAGCCCACAATAGCCTGGGAACTGCTCTTAGAAATCTGTGAGAAGCCAGCAAAGTGATGAAGCAAACCAGTTTCTAAAAGAGCGAAGACTAATATAATGATGTAGAAAAGGCATTCCTTCCATGAAAAATATTTTTCTGGACCACTGGGTAAATTCTTAGATTTGGTTCCAATTTTGTGACTGACATCACTTAAGTTCAGACTCAGCAAGAAACCAAATCCAGTCATGAAAAGAACCACACCAACAGTGCTTGGAATGAAATATGATGTTATAGCTGTTCCAGCAGACATGATGAACATTACTAATAACCTGTAGAGAAAAAAAAGAAAAAAAGATTTACTTGAAAAGAAAAATGTTCTTTAAGAATAAGTTACATATAACATCAATATTTAAAAATAAATACCTTAGGTGGGTTGACATAGATGAGCCTCCAAGGCCGAACTCTAAAATCTGCTCCATTGCCCATAAGAAAAGTGCATCAGGTGGGGGCAGAGTCCCAAGTGCCCACAGAAAGGGTAAGAATACAAACAAGATGTGTAAAATCTGATTCATTTGTTCTAGAGCTGGCATATTTACCATAAACCTATAAAAAAAGAACATTTAAATCACACAAAATATATAGAGGAGGATCTTTTAAGGAAAAGCAAAGCAACACAGTATAACAACACACTCCCTTCCAAAAAAAAAAAAAAACCACACACACACACCACACACAAAGTCTTAGTCCCAACTTTTAAATGATCAGTACATACAAATTGTGACAAGTGTCCTTCTACATCAGCAACTACCCCTACACAATTGTGTACAAGCTTAGCATTTAGAGAATATGTGAACTCAAATGTGCAGAGGCGGAGGAAGTAATTAAAAGCCATCATTGAGTAGTAAGTAAATTGAATACAGGAATTTGTAAAACTAAACAACTGAGGCCAGAGCATAAACATTTCTCCCCTAAATGTCTAAACTAGTACATTGGCTGAAATTCTACCAATGATTCTTCAGAGTTTTAAAATTTTATAATTTAAAATTTCAAGTAACTTTGGAAAGTCAAAGCCTTACTCACATTCATACATTAGCAGCTAAAAAAAAAAAAAGGGGAAAGCTCTTCTCTTCCTCTTTGTCTTGTACTGTCCTGCTCCCAGGACCCAGAATTTAACATTGGAATGGTTAATATCAGAAATGAGCAATTCAGGTTATGACTGTATCTCTGCAGGTTAACCTAACAACTTAACTAGCATTTACAGCACTGTTCCATTTTGCATAAGCAGTGGTATGAATTTGAGAACACAAACTTGCACATTACAATCTCCTCATAAAGGAGTGACTACCTCTACCTTAAGTGGAAAAACTCAAACTTGGCACAGCACTTAACAGTTAAATGTACCATCATCAAACTGCTTCAAATAATTTAATTTTAAAGCACAGGACTATACATATTATCAATATATTATGAATTTTTTAAAAAATAACGCTAATCAAACACTGTGTCCAGAGACCAATAAGGTCAGAGTACTTCTGGGGTTCCAAAGATAACTTTCAAAAGACAACAAAGTCTCAAAACTTACGGCATAATTGTACTTGAATACCCAAACTACTGGGAATCCAAGTTGAGGAGAAAGACAATTTCTGGGGCCGGGCACAGTGGCTCACACCTGTAATCCCAGCACTTTGGGAGGCCAAGGTGGGTGGATCACCTGAGGTCAGGAGTTCGAGACCAGCCTGGCCAACATGGCAAAACCCCATCTCTACTAAAAATACAAAAATTAGCTGGGCATGGTGGTGGGCGCCTGTAATCCCAGCTACTTGGGAGGCTGAGGCAGGAGAATTGCTTGAACCCAGGAGGCAGAGGTTCCAGTCAACCGAGATCGCACAATTGTACTTCAGCCTGGTCAACAAGAGCAAAAGTCCGTCTCAAAAAAAAAAAAAAAAACAATAAAGAAAGACAATTTCTGAAATAATTATCCACTTAAGCATATGCTGACAATCCCAAAGCAAATGTACAGCAACTATGGATATAATATAGTAATGGCATTGTATGTTTGCTCACACAGATGTCAGGACTATGCCAACTAATGTGCTCTGCCTCATAATGTATGCCCTTCAAATTTTTATAAGCAGAGAATTAATGAACACAAGATTAACAGTGTGATACTAAATTAGAGGACAATACTTTTTTATAAAATAAAATTCATTTCATTCTGAGTAGAAACCATTCAAGTAACAAAAAAATCAAGAAAATCAAACCATACATACATAGTAAGCCACAGGAAGGTCAAGGAAAACATGGAGATTGGTACAGTCTTTTTATTTTTTCCCCAAGATGACACCCCTCTATCAAGAATAGGATAATTTGTGTAAAAAGAACATGCGCTCATGAAACCTTTTATCAAAACTAGATTCTACCCCTAAATCTCTTTTGGTCCTTTAACAACAAGCAATGGCAAAGTAAAGTATTTATATTCAAGGATAACATAATTGAAGTAATCAAACATTATGATTATTTTCCTGTATATAGGACTTAGCTCCGAATGGATTATTGTGGTTAATTCTTTAATATGGAAAAACATTTAAATTATAATAATTCTGATAATGTAATAAAAATGTTCTAAGGTAAAAAAAATCTCAGCCCTTCCAACTTAGTTTGGAACCTAACAGCTATAAAAATGTTTCAAATTTTGCACACTCACTAAGATCCACATGTCAAGAAAAAAGATGTTTTCTACAGTGGCTAAGATGATGTACATGTGTATCATTCATTCAAACAATTCCCGAGTGTCTGAGCTAAGCACTGGAGATATGATGTTTTTAATAAAAATTAAAATACACAGAAAAAGTCATTTAAAAGTATTATTACACAACTGTACTAGGTAAAGAATGGGGAAGGAAAAGATTACCACGTTGTGGGGTTCACCTCTTCCGCTTCCTTTTGTATCTTCTGAAATAAAACTAAGAAACAATTTACCTGTCAACTGGCCAAATTTGAAGAGTCCATGCATTTCATACATCATTTGGCTGCAGTATCACACCTATTGTCTAGAGATGATCTCAATTCTATTATTTTCTGAATCAAAAGTGAAACCGGAGGTAGTTTTTCTGGATAAAATAGTCATTTTCTTCTCTAAAAATAGATGTGGGGACTGGCCTTGTCTTTTTAGTTACAGTTAAAAAAACAAAAACAAATAACTTTGTAATTATCAAATCTTAAACATTAAAACTGTGTATTAAATCCAACAAGATTTTAGTAAAAAACCTTTTATGTACTTTTAGAAATGAGTAATGCATAATGTTAGGAAAACTAAATTAAAAGATTCTTTTTTAAAATTAAAGAACTTAGGACATCATTTTGAATCCAAAGATTACATCAGGCATTCAATTTCTGATCTCAGAAATGGGATACGGAGACAGTAACTCAATAATTTGTATTCTGAAAATAACCACCTTATAAATTTTAAATATTTTAAAGGCAATCATGTACATACACACACTTAAATTCAATTTTACTAACTTTCCAAAACCAAGTATTTAACTGGAATATATTTTATAGTCAGTAAATGGTGGTGGTATTAAGAAACCAATTATAAATGGATTTCCTGTTTATTAATCCTCCCCTTACAGTTTTGGTTAGGTGAAGAATTACATGGGCATTACACCGCCCTCTGGTTCATAAATGCAGTGTAACTAGAAGAGATTAAAAGTTAAGAAATCGGCCGGGCGCGGTGCCTCACGCCTATAATCCCAGCACTTTAGGAGGCCGAGACGGGCGGATCACGAGGTCAGGAGATCGAGACCATCCTGGCTAATATGGTGAAACCCCGTCTCCACTAAAAATACCAAAAATTGGCCGGGTGCGGTGGCGGGCGTCTGTAGTCCCAGGTACTCGGGAGGCTGAGGCAGGAGAATGGCGTGAACCCGGGAGGCGGAGCTTGCAGTGAGCCGAGATCGCGCCACTGCACTCCAGCCTGGGCAACAGAGCGAGACTCCATCTCAAAAAAAAAAAAAAAAAAAAAAAGTTAAGAAATTGCAAACAGACACCCAAGAAGAGGTCAGTTTCAGTGCCCAAACTGACTTAATATTTTAAAATGCCTTGTCTTAATCAGCTTGGGCTGCCATAACAAAATACCACAGAGTGGCTTCAACAACAGAAATTTATTTTCTAACAGTTCTGGGGGCTACAAGTACAAGACCAGGCTGCCAGTATAGTCAGGTTCTGGTGAGGACTCTCTTCCTGGCTTACACATGGCTGCCTTTTTGCTGTGTCTTTATGTGGCAAAAAGAGAGACACCTAAGGGCACTATCCTATCAGACTAGGGTCTCACCTTCATAAACCACCTCCCAGAGGCCCATCTCCAGATACCATCACATTGGGGGTTAGGGCTTCAACGTAAACATTTTTGAGGGAACACAATTAGTCTATAACATTCCATCCCCGGCCCCTCAAAACTCATGTCCTTTTCAAATGCAAAATACATTCATTCCATCCCCATATCCCCCAAAGTCTTCACTCATTCTAGCATTAACTCCGATGGCTAAAGTCCAAAGTCTCATCTAAATCAGATATGGATGAGACCTACGTACAATCCATCCTGAAGCAAAATTCCTCTCCAGCTGTGAACCTGTGAAACCAGATGAGTTATGTGCTTCCAAAATCCAAGGGTAGGGCAGGTATAGAAGAGACATCCCCACTCCAATAGGAGAAACAGGAAAAAAAGGGTGATGATCCCAAGAAAGTCAAAACCTAGCAAGGCAAATTCCAATAGATCTAAGAGCTTGAGAATAATTCTGTTTGGTTCCATACTCTGCCATCCAGGCCACTGGGATGGCAGGTCACTGCCACTGCTCTAGGTGAGGGTACTGCTTCTGTGGCTCTGAAGTTCAGTACTGCTCCCAAGGCTTTGGGTAGAGGCTATCTGACTTGTTGAAACTGAGGTGGTAGCCCTCAAGACCCTTAAATCACCTTTGGCATCATTTTCTCCTTTTCTAGAAGAATACTGCACGTTTGTAGCTGAACAGTTCTATCATTACATCCTGTCAAATCGAAGAAGTTTGACTGTCGGCCTTCATCACTTCCTGTCTCCAACCACTTCAATTCAAACTGGCAGTGTTTCTACTCATATAATGCCAAAAGCTCTTTACTGAGTGACAGTCCAGCCCCACACTTTTGGTGTTCTCTTCAGAATATGCTTTCTTATGTTTTACAATGTGGATAATCCAGGCTGAAAATTTTCCAAATCTTCAAGTTCTGGTTCCTTTTCTTGCTTAACAATCCCTTCTTCAATTCATCTCTCTCCTTTCACATTTTACTAGAAACCGTCAGGAGAAGCCAACTGCTCCTTTCAACACTGCTTTGAACTCTCCTTACGTAGGTATCCAACTTCATGGCTCTAAAGTTCTACCTTCCACAAAACACTAGGACACAGTTCAGCTAAGTTCTTTGATACTTTGTAACAAGGACTACCTTTCCTCTGGGTTCAGGGGACTTCAGACTTCATCAGAATCACCCTTAATGTCCATATTTCTAGCATGCACATCAAAACTCTTTTAGCCTTGGCTGGGCGTGATGGCTCAAGCCTGTAATCCCAGAACTTGGGAGGCCGAGGCGAGTGGATCACTCGAGGTCAGGAGTTTGGGACCAGCCTGGCCAACATGGCGAAACCCTGTCTCTACTAAAAATATGAAAATTAGCCAGGTGTGGTGGCGCATGTCTGTAAACGCAGCTGTTCAGGAGGCTCAGGGAGGAGAATCACTTGAAGCCAGGAGGCGGAGGTTGCAGTGAGCTGAGATTGTGCCACTGCACCCCAGCCTGGGCAATGGAGCAAAAACTCCATTTCAAACAAAACAAAACAAAACAAAGAAACAAAAAAATCTTTCAGCCTCTATCCATTACCAACAGTTACAAAGCCATTTTCACATCTTTAGGTATTTGTTACAAAGGCATCCCACTTCTTTTTTTTTTTTTTTTTTTTTTTTGAGACGGAGTCTTGTTCTGTAGCCCGGGCTGGAGTGCAGTGGCCGGTTCTCAGCTCACTGCAAGCTCCGCCTCCCGGGTTCACGCCATTCTCCTGCCTCAGCCTCCCGAGTAGCTGGGACTACAGGCGCCCGCCACCTCGCCCGGCTAGTTTTTTGTATTTTTAGTAGAGACGGGGTTTCACCGTGTTAGCCAGGATGGTCTCGATCTCCTGACCTCGTGATCCGCCCGTCTCGGCATCCCACTTCTTAGTAGCAAAATCTTAATCAGCATGGGCTGCCATAACAAAATGCCATAGGCTGAGTAGCTTAAAGAACAGAAATTTATTTTCTCACAGTTCTGAAGGCTGGAAGTCCAAGATCAGGCTGCCAGTATGGTCAGGTTTTGGTGAGAGCTCTCTTCTTTGGCTTGCAGGTGGCCACCTTCTTGATGTGTCCTTAGATGGCACAGAGAGGGAGCGATCAAGCTCTCTGGTACCTCCTCTCACAAGGGGACTAGTCCCATCATACCAGGGACCCACCTTCATGACCTAATTACCTCCCAAAGGCCCCATCTCCAAATACTATCACATTGGGGTTTAAGACTGTAATATATGAATTCTGGAGAGATACAAATATTCACAAGGTAACATGCCTGAACATATCTACCTGGACACTAACCTAAGAAAAGAAAGCTGCAATCTATAGAGACAGAGAAAGAAAAGTCAAACTTGAAAAGGCAAGTAAAAGGGGTTATCAAACAATTTTGTGAACAATCGTGTTTGTTTAAAAAACTATTTCCTACTTTTCTTCTGTAACAAGTTGGTTTTTAAAAAATCAATATTACTTCTACTATTGTTGCTATCACAAAATTAGAAATAAATTTTCTATTTGTCTTAAAGTCACTCAATTTTTATATAATACTTATGTGTATAAATTCTAAATTCTTCCTTTCCCCCCACAGGAAAGTTCCATCTCCTTACACAGGTTTCAGCCAGGCTATCCTAAAAACTCAAAGCTCCTTATTTAAAGTGAAACACAAAATTGAAAAGTTCCTTATCTCAAAAAGGGTTTTCTAAAAAACTCTTTAATAAATTTCAACTATTGCGTTAGTATGTTTTACAGAGATTAATCCTGAAAGAATAATTATCAAAATAACCTGTCATCCAATGGTTTATTTTTAATCCATGGATTCATTTTTTTTGTAACACTAAAAGGAGAGCTCTCTTACTCTGTATACTTAAAAACAAAGCAAGTTACAAAGTATTTGGTAGGTTTTTACCTGTATGCCAGATCCACAGAAACAAAGAAAAAAATATAAAGAGGTCTCATAAGAGGAGTAATTTCATAAGTATCCTGTGTTTGGAAAGTTGCAGTCTCTGTAGCTGTGTTTACAATTAATGAATATTCTCCTATACATAATGTCATCCATCCAAAGAAGAATAGTAGAGCAGTGCCTCCTGTACTGCCATACAGCAAGGTTATTCTATTTGGGAGCAGATACCATGTTCCAAGACCACACGCTAATCCAGCAAGAACAGAATGAAAAACTGTATTGACTACATATTTCTTGCCAGGAATGAGAAATTTGACAGTCTCAGCACCAGCACAACTTGTAAATTCATGTTCATCCTCCTCTGCTAAGATATCCGTGGCTAATATTCTTTCTACTGTTGCTGATTTGTTTCTGGCGTATAAACTTGTGAACTGGATGACAAATGCAGTAAAAAGCATTAATCCACCTGAAAGTGCTGCTGTGTAATAGTCTTTCAGGATGCCTAACTGGTACAAAAGTGTTCCGACTCCGCCCCAAACCCATGGCATTAGAAAAAGAATAATTTGATTAACATATATGTAAGGAGGGGCACAATAGCCTAATTTGAATCGAGGGCCTCCAAGGACAGTCTGTGGAAAGCGCTTCAGAAAGAAGTCCTGCTTGTAATCATTCAGTAGAGGCACATCTGGACTCATCCTCACTCGGGATTATTCTGAAAGTCACATGCTTTTCTGTAACACAGCAGTTTCTAAAAAATAAAAATTAAAAAAAAGTCACTGTTTGAAAATGTCATACTTAAAACCTGTGAGGAAAAACCTCACACTACTATTTTATCTCCTTACTTCCTTCAAGGGTAGGATTTATAACTGTACTTCTCAGACCCCTTCCTGACACATACTTGACAGTGTTTTATAGCAACTTAGTGTTAGTTTGTTTATAACATATTATAAACAAAATAAATATGCTCAGTTATTTTATTTTTTGAAAGAGGGTATCACTCTTCACCCAAGCTGGAGAGTACTGTCGTGATCACAGCTCACTGCAGCCTTGACCTCCCAAGCTCAAGTGATCCTCCCACATTAGCCTCCTGAGTAGCTGGGACTATAGGCACATGCCCCTATGCCTGGCTAACTTTTTATTTTTTGTAGAGATGGGGTTTTGCCATGTTACCCACCAGGCTGGTCTTGAGTATCTGGGCTCAAGTGATCCTCCTGCCTTGCCTACCAAAGTGCTGGGATTACAGGCATGAGTCATTGTGCTCAGCCTTATTTCTTTTTTTAAAAAAAATCATATTCTTTATTCATTTATAACCTAATATTTGGAATTAGAATTTAACTCACATATTTAAATTCTGAGGTCAATGGAAAGTCCAAAATGTCAATACTTTCAACTCAAATCAATTTAGGCTACTTTTATTCAACAGCCATAAAATCTAAGTATCAAATAACATAAGTTATCTTCAGTTCAACTTTTCCTTAATCTTTGCAGGTTATTCTGAAAAACAGTTACCCTACACAAAACCAGCTAGCAAAGTATTACTTTGGTGGATCATGTTAGGCTAGAAAGGAAAAATTAAATTTAAAGCCATCTTAAAATAACCTTTCTTTCAGTCAGTTTAAACATAATCTTTCCTCTAGTCAGTTCTACCTAACCAGTATCAATTCTGGAGAGAAATTTGGGGCAGCATGAAAAGTTTGGGGGGTCACCTTTAAGAATTAGTACCTTAGATCTCCTCTTTGTTATACCGCTATGGAGTTTTAAAAATTGTAAACATCTATCTTCTTACATCTTCCAGTCATTGGTCTTAGTTCTGCATAGAATGAATCACAGCTTTTAACTCACAGGACAGCCCTGCAAGTACAGCTGGCCCTCTGTGTCTGTGGGTTCTGCATCCATGGATTCAACCAACCACAGACAAAATAGGAAAATAACTGTATCTGTACTGAACATGTACAGATTTTTTTCCCATTATTATTCCCTAAATAATAAAGTACAGCTATTTATATAGCATTTATATAGTATTAGGTATTCTAAGTAATGTAGAAATGATTTAAAGTACAGGGAGGAAGTGCATAGGTTATATGCATATACGATACCATTTTATATCAGAGACTTGAACATCCTTGGATTCTGGTATCTGAGAGAGGTCCTGGAACTTACCCTTCACAGATACCAAGGGATGACTATACTCACAAAATAACAGAACTACAGGGCCAAATCGAACGTTAGTGGTCTACTGGTCAATCTTAGGGAATGGAAAGAGTGCCTCCTTCCCCTTTGTACGAGCTTGTCTCCTGCACTGACGTCAGGCTCAGTGTACAATATTCCACTTTGTCTTATAGAAGCCAATGGGTAAGGAGGGTCACACTCCTGTGGGAGGGGATAAACATTCTGACATAAGTTATCTATGGAAGATGCCATCAGACAGGAAAATGAACTTGGATGGATGGCCTGGATTTTGAAGAATGTGGATGTGCCTGAAATTTCCCCAAGGAGTTAGGTGAAAGTTGGCCCTTCTGGCTCTACTGAGATAACTCAGAAACAAGGTAGAGTGGCTTCCTGGGAAAGTAAAGATACTTTATAAACCAGATTATCTATCTGCATGTTAGTATTTCTGGGTCTTTTGTAAAGTTTTGTTTAAATGTTTTCATCCATTTGATGAAATAATCTGTGATCATATTCCAAACAGTGCAATATCTGAAGCGTTATTATTATGGAAACATGGAAAGATGCCCATGATATACTGAAAAGTAAAATAAACACACTACTGATGCCATTTGTATCCAAAAAGAGTACACACATCTATATACATAGATTGCTGTATATGGCTTGCATATATATAAAAAGTTTCAGAAGGAATATTAACTAAGCTGTGTGTCTTTTATATGTAACATTTAACATCTTTTCAAATTACCAAATGTCCTCCAGAACTCTCAACCTCACACCCTGTATATACGTTCTGTGTTTTTCTTCCTGGGTACCACTGAGCTCATACTCTCTCCTTTGCCTAGGATGATGTCCTCTCCTCCCTTCCCTAATTAGTAACATTAAACAACTTTTAAGACATTTCTGAAAATTTTGCAGAGCAGTTTGGTGTAGCTGAGTATCTCTTCTCTCTGTATACCAAAACCACTGCTTGTTCTACATACTACAAGTTGGACATCACAAATCTGAATATCCAAAATCCTCCCAAAGTTGAAACTTTTTAAGTGCCAACATGATGCTCAAAGGAGATGCTTAACGGGGCATTTCTGATTTTTGGATTTGGGATGCATAATTGGTATAATGTAAACATTCCAAAATCTGGGGGGGGGGGGGACCCAAATCCAAAACACTTCTGGTCTCAAGGATTTTGGATAATTGGTATAATGTAAACATTCCAAAATCTGGGGGGGGTAAAAAAAACCCAAATCCAAAACACTTTTGGTCTCAAGGATTTTGGATAAAGGATACTCAACCTTGTAACATATATGAGTATACGGCATGGAGTAACTTCTTGTATTGTTCACCTCTTTACATTTTATCTTTTCAGGTTTATTTATTTTCTCTAGCAATATGTTATTGGGCATAGGGGCTGATACGGTTTGGCGGTTCCCCCACCCAAATCTCATCTTGAATTGTAGCTCCCATAATTCCCAGGTGTTGTGGGAGGGACCCTGTGGGAGGTAATTGAATCATGGGAGTGGTTTCCTCCATACTGTTCTTATGGTATTGAGTAAGTCTCACGAGATGTGATGGTTTTATAAGGGGAAACCTCTTTCACTCAGTTCTTATTTTCTTTTTTTGTTGTTGTTGAGATGGAGTCTCGCTCTGTTGCCCAGGCTGGAGTGCAGTGGCCGGATCTCAGCTCACTGCAAGCTCCGCCTCCCGGGTTTACGCCATTCTCCTGCCTCAACCTCCCAAGTAGCTGGGACTACAGGCGCCCGCCACCTCGCCCGGCTAGTTATTTGTATTTTTTTTTTAGTAGAGACGGGGTTTCACTCAGTTAGCCAGGATGGTCTCAATCTCCTGACCTTGTGATCCGCCCGTCTCCGCCTCCCAAAGTGCTGGGATTACAGGCTTGAGCCACCGCGCCCGGCCTCAGTTCTTATTTTCTCTCTTGTCTGCTGCCACGTTAAGACATGCCTTTCACCTTCCACCATGATCGTGAGGCCTTCTCAGCCATGAGAAATTGAGTACATTAAACCTCTTTTTCTTTATAAATAACCCAGTCTCGGGTATGTCTTTATCAGCAGTGTGAAAACGGATAAATACAGAGGCCACATCTTGAGATTCTTGATTCCCCATATTTAGCAAAATACCTTTCCATGGAGAAGCATGTAATACTTTAATGATACAGCCTAAATAAGACAATTAAAGTTGGAAAATAGGTCATATTGCTGTCTTAAAGGGAAGCTGGGAGTATTTCCCATTTTCTTTCTTTCTTTTTTTTTTTTTTTTTTTTTGAGATGGAGTCTTGCTCTGTCACCCAGGCTGGAATGCAGTGGTGTGATCTCAGAACACTGCAACCTCTACCTCCCGGGTTCAAGCAATTCTCCTGCCTCAGCCTCCTGAGTAGCTTGGATTACAGGTGTGTGCCACCACACTTGGCTAATTTTTATATTTTTAGTAGAGATGGGATTTCACCATGTTGGTCAGGCTGGTCTCGAACTCCTGACCTCATGATCTCCGTCTACTGGGATTACAGGCGTGAGCCACCGCGCCTGGTCGTATTTACCATTTTCAAAAACTTGCAGCATATCCTACTCTACTCAAAATAGTAAGTCTATAAACTGTTTATTCAGTTTTAAAATGTTTGGAAAGTATCTTATTTTTTACGGAGCAAATAATACTATCTATTCATAGTATTACTGGTTCAGGGAAGATTCTGGCTAGATCAATATACCACATAGCGACACAGGAGCAGGATGAGCCTGAGGGAGAAATATGGCTGGGTTTCTCCTGTGAAGGAAATGACTGGAGAATTTTAAGATGTCAGAAGTCCAATTTTAATTTGCTTCCTGTCCCATAGTATGCTTTAACCTGCATCATCAGGAAAGGAAGAACTAGTTCATACTGAGAAAGAAGGGCAGACATAGAACAGTAGGCATAAGAGGCAAAATAAAGTGGGAGAAATCAAGAATTGAGTGAGACCAGACCAAGAAGTACAAAGAGAATGTATGTTCCCTCAAGAAGCCTAAGAAACATGGGAGAGGACACTGGTATGGTGATTTGAGTGAACTATTTTTAAAAGGCTGAAAGATACAGGATCATGTGTCCCACAGAATATATCCTGAAAAGGGGTCTGTAGTCAAAGCAGTTTGAAAAATTATACACTATACTGTCATCTTGAAGAGTCACAATGGATATTAGCAGATTAAAGATTTCGAGATCTTTGATATTAAAAAAACACTTCTGCAAGTCTGCTTAAAATGTGTCATTTGAGTTTTCCAAATTCATTTGACCTTGGAACCCACTTTTTCCATGATATCTAATAACAGATCACGTAACTGATGTTTTATCGAAACTACTTTAAGAAACACTGGCCTGGGATTCCACAGGATCTTAAAGATTGAGCCAAACCGAGAACTGAAAGGGTATGCCAGTTAAGGAGGAATGTCATGAACAGGTACACAAGCAAAAAACTATCAGGGAAATTTGACAGGTAGCAAGCATATCAGACCTAAAGACTGATTTAAAGTATGGGTGTTTCTATTTTCTTTTTAAGGATAAAAGAGGATTACATGATGGATACTAACAACTCATTAA